GCCTAGCTCACGTTTTGGTGTTCTGGCATAATGCTGTTACCCAATCATAGTAATTCTTTACATTTTATGTAGATCAACACAGCCTCAGTTTTTCAAAGCTCGTGGGAACTCGGTCTTTACAAAGTGGAATGCACCAGCTTTTGCTGATGATGTGGAGTAGGGTTGGGGTGGTGGGTTGTGGAGGGTGTGGGCAAGGAGTGAGATGAATAAATGGAGACAGCACCCAGTGAGAGAGAAGATTAAATGAAAAGCAGACAAAGGGATTGCTGATGGTAAACTGAGCAAGAAGTAAGTGCTGAATCAGTGATAATGGGAAATGTGAATAGTTGAAAATAGGTTGGCTGTGCTGGGAGAAATCCATGAAGAACAGGACCTGGAAGTCTGGGACTGGGAAATGAATATGGAGAGAGGCGAAATTGTTAAATTGAATGTTGAGTCCTGAGGGCTGTAAGGTACCTAAGCAAAGGATTCTCCACCCCTCCCAGATCTGCATTCTGCATGGCCATTCCCTCTGGGACACCCTGGTTCACTTGTCCTCCACTGATATCCACACCAATACCACCTCACACTCCTGCAGCACTTTCCCATATAATCGCAGAAGGTACAACACTTGCTCTTTACCTCCTCCCTCCTCACTATCAAAGGCTCTGGACACACCTTTCAGGTGAAGCAGCAATTTTCCTGCATTTCGTTCAATCTCATCTGCAGTTCCCTTTTGATTAAAAAGTCCAAAATATCAAAACATTTATTATTAAGAATTTTAATCACCTTCCTTTGAAATCTTCCAACGTAACATGATGGGTGTCTTCATGGTCCTCGGCAGAGCCACATCCATGTGGATGATGTTCCCATTCATGGTTCTACCATGGTGGAGCATGATACAAGGATACAGATGGTGCTACAACATTTTCAAGCTGCTGGTCTTAAGCTGCTCGTATGTGTGCTTCAAGCACACCATCACCTTACTCAGCTAAATTGTTGATACGTTTAGGTTAACAGGGGATTCTTGAAATAAGCAGCCACCAGGAGTTTTCCATCCACTTTGAGTGGCAATGAACTCCATGCTTTATGGGCACAGTAATCAGTTAGATAAGTTATTACCCAATATAGTGCAAATCCATGCATTGCAATGTCTGTTGCTGAAATGGAACCAGGCTTGATACCAGAGCACATGCCAATGACAGGCTTTTGACATGATCAAGGACTGGCTTATGTCTATCCAAACTCTGGCAGTTTATGACCCAGACCTGCTCAACATTTTTGTAGTTTATGCACCCTTACTGGCCTCGGAGCTATTTTGTTCCAGATCCAATGTAATGACACATGATGACTGGTCTACCATGCCTCCAGGGCACTGACGGTCATGAAGAAGCGATATGTGGTCATCAATAAGGAGGCCCTGCTGGTCAGCCTGTGAAAAGATCTCTGACTATGTCCTAAACCTCAAATTTACAACCTAGACAGATCTCAAGCCATTTGTAACCCTCCTTAACACCAAAGAGCTGGCAAAGATGTCATATTGAATCCAGAGTTTCCAATTACGTCTAATGTGGGCAACTTCTGGCTACAGATAATGTATCACACTGACTTAGCAGTTTTGTACACATTGTTAGTTCAGCTCGATACCCACAAGCCAATGGTGAAGCTAAATGGGGTGGGGAGACAATACAGACAGAGTTCTATTGAAGATGTTGAATAAAACCGTGTTTTGGAAAAACTCAGAAGGCCTGGCAATTATCTGTGAAGGGAGAAAAAGAGTTAACGTTGCAAGCTCGATGACACATCTTTCGACCTCATCAATCTGGTTTTGCTTCATTACTGGTCTGCACCTTTTATATAACAGAAAAATTCATGGCTCCTGTTAGGTTAGAGGCTACATACGCTGCTTCTAAGTCTCCTGCCTGCTCTTTATCAGGTATCGCAGAAGCCGACTTGGATGACCATACTGGAGGAGGATCATGATTCTCAATTATTGCCATAAGGTACAGTTACTGCCAGCACTCTGTCCTGAGGAGTCTGTCAAGATCCAGGACCAAAACTGACTTGGACAAAGTTTTGAGTCCTTTAGTTCATGCTCATTCTTACTCAGTCAACACTGACCACACCATCCTCAGATGCAGTAGATCAATATTGTTGAATACCAGCAAGTTGCCCTTAGAGATGCTTGAATAAGCAAGAAGATACTCAACTATCTTAGCCGACTGTTCACATACTCTTTCACTAGTCGCATGTGTTCTGACCCCTCCTCTAAAATAAACATTTCAGGCGGATTAACCAAACCGCTACAGTCTCTCTTTTTTCTCTGACTAAGACCCAACAGCATGGGAGAGGAGAAGAAGATAAATATGTTAATAGTTTATGATGCAGATATTTTATGGTTAGAATGAAAGAGTTGGGGGTTGTGATGAGGGCAAGTTGTTGCGAAACGTTAATAGCTGTTAAGCTATTGCCTGCAGTGTATTATCAGTGATGACCGACCACGTGGAGCCAGAACTTGAGGGTAGAAGGTTCTAATGGAGTCCTGCTAAAAAAAAATGCCTCTGTAAATAGGGCAAATAGTTCATAAATACTCATTAAAATGTTTGCACTAGTGCCATTTGTCGAAAGCGTCCAGAACCTATTAGTGATATTTATACAAAGCTCTGGAATTCCCATCTTGGAACTCTCTCCTGTCTACCTCACTTTATTCACTTAAGACACTTTGTAAAACTTGCATCTTTATCCAAGTTTTTAATCTTCTATCTTCCTCAAGTATTTTTCTAGCCTTTTCTTAAGTGCATGTAGGCTACGTACTCAACTAGTCCAGGTGGAGGCCAAGTTCCACATTCTCACCACTTTCTGAGCAAAGATGTTTCCATTGAATTTCTTATTTAAATTGGTAGTGACTGTCTTGTATGAAAACACTGAGTTTTGTATTATTCCAAAAGGGAAACATTCTCTCTTCACCCATCTTATGAAACACTCAAAGTTTTGAAGACCTCTTTGTAGCAGATCCTTTAGTATTTTCCTAGGAGGAAAACGCCAAGCCTGTTCAACCTTTCTTGAGTTCTCAAATTGTTTACCATCCTTGTAAGCCTTTTTCACCTTTAACAGATTAGTGCAACAGTACTCTGTAAAAAAAGTTAATGCCTTTGTAAAAAGAGGAAGGAACATTAGATACAGTCAGGGAATGTTTGACATTGTCCCAACTTCCTTTTCAAGTAAATATTTTGGTCCATCGTTATAACTATCTCACTCTGACATTGATCAAAAGAATTGCTTTGTTCATTCGTATAGGTTTGTATACAACAAGCAAAAGCTGTCTGTGGAAGCTCAACTAAACTGAAGAGAACTATTCAGCTTAGATTTCTTTGCTTTTATTCAGGAAATGAGACATTTAACCCTTTTACTCCTGAGGACAGCATGAATCTTTATTACTTTTGAATGGAAATCATCTGATTTGGCTCAATATATAGGAAGGGGTTAAACTATGAACTACTCTTCACTAATTATGTCAGTTTTTTTGTGTGTGAATGTGGCAGCAATAACCTTTTAAATCCCTTGGCTAAACAGCTTAGAGCTTCTTGAGGCATGAACTGAGGTTAATTAGCTCAAACTGTTCTTTTAGCAGCAAGATTAACCAGAAACAAGGGAACAAGGATCGTAGGCTGAAAGATGTTATATTTTAAAATTCTGCAGCACAAACTTTCTTTTTGTCTCAGGCCTTTTTGGTTGTTGCAATACTAAACATTTCACTCTTTATAGTAATAGTAAACTGGACAAATGTAGCAAATTTAAGGACTATTTCTGATTGCTATTCTGTGATTATCGCCTTAATTAAGTGTTTGGATAGCAGGTATAGAAACAATCAGACTTTGTAGTAATAGATATTTTCTAATCATCCTGTTCAGAGATTTTATTATGCATCTCTAGAGTAAGTGGGGTTTGAACCCAGGCCCCTTGGCTCAGAGGTAGGGACACTACTACTGCACCACGAGAGCACCAATTTAGTTATAATATTTTGAACAGCCACTCTGGTGATAATGAGAGACTGGAGCTTCCTTTTGAATCATTTCCTTGCATAGATCTCTTAAGAGCAGAGAAAACATGTCAATTACAGACAGAAGTTCCTGTTAGTGAAGAATAGTGTGTTGCCCCACACACGCCAAACAGGCACAGACACATACTGCGCTACCAGAACTGGAGGAGTAATGGAGATGGGCTGGGATTTTCTTCGGAGGTTCTCTTGATTGACCATTATTACTCTGACAGAAATCCTATATGGGGTTACAGAAATTGAACAGAATGCTGAAGAAAATTCCCAACAGTGAGCTAAAACAGGAAGTATTGATTAGTTGATATCCAAACCAGCATCTTGTAGATTGTAACGAGGAAGAAAGACAGATATGTAAGGAGGTTATGGTAAAGAAGTGTTTGGTGTAAGAAGCTCTGCAATGTGGCAAACAGGGTGATTTAGTGCTTAAAAGGGAAAGAATGAAGGTAAATGTAACTTGTGTTGTCTTGACTTTATATGTTCATTCGGTAATACAGTTGTAAAATGTAAATGTTAAGATGAAGAGATACGGTCAATATAAAATGGTTGTTTCATGTAGTGTAGTCTAGAGCCATACTTATTCAGAGCTAGGTCACTCAGCATTGTAATCAGGAAACATTTCTTCACAAAAAATGTAGCAGAAAAGTGGAATTTATTCCCCACATACATCCCATCACTACCACTCCATCACATCCTTAACCACCTTTCCATGCCAATAGCAATGGATCCTGGTGCAATTGCAACTTTCAATTTGAGAAAGAGATTTTTTGTTAGGCTAAGATTATCAAGGGGTGTTGCTTGAGGTAGAGTAAATCAAGTTTAATTGAGATGGGCCCTAATCTAACTGAGAGGTCCACTTCTATGTATTTGCAATAGTTAGGGGTTAGACAAGACATAAGATTGAGAATGATAGTTTTCTATCAACTTATCCTGTAGAGAGAAGATTCTCCCCAGATAAGGGAGTGATATTTAAACCAGGCATACCTTTAGGCTTCAGCCCTGACATTTAAAGATGCAGAGTTGGGAGAGTGTGGTAGCAAAGGAAGAACCCACCAAGATTGGGGACGTGGAGGCCATTTTGAATTTAATTTGCAGAAATTAATATTTTCCTTCCAATTCCCACCCAGCAGCTGACCAAATCGAAAGTCAGTCCAACTGACAGGCTGGAAATATAATGGCATAAGGCTACAATCAAGAATGGACCCTTCCCCACTGACTAAGGTAATTAGGAGGAAGGAAGAAACTAGGAATGAGATTTGTGAGGGATTGGGTAGAGAGAGCTGTTTTACAAGGAATTAGGTCAGATAATCGTTGGAAGGGATGAGAGAGGCAATCTGTTGAGAAAGGGAATGATAATTTGAACAAGAGATTGAGAATGGGGTACTTGGAATTAAAACGTCATTCAAGATTGAAATTGATGATTGAGGGCCATCCTAGAGGAGTGTGTGTGTGTCTGAGAGAGAGAGTCAGAGAATGTGAAGAAAAAGACCCAGTGGGGAAAAAGGCACAATGAAAGGCCAGAGATAGTAGGGGAGGAGAGAGGGCACAATCTGAGTGAAGAATTTAGAGATTGCACATAGAGAGGGCACTGCAGGAGGGAGCAAGAGAATTGGGGCAGGTAAATCGATAACTCTGGGATAGTGAATTCCATAGATTCCTGACCCTTTGAGAGAAGTAATTGCTCCTCCTCTCTGCTTTACTTCTGCTATTCCTTATCCTAAAACAATGACCTGTTGATATAGACATCAATTAGATCCCCTCTCATTCTTCTAAACCCCAGAGAGTACAGGCCTAAACTGCTCAATCTCTCCTCAGAAGACAAATCCCTCATCTCTCCTCCTCTGTACCCAGTACTCCAGGTGTGGTTTTATTAATGCCTTCTACAGCTGCAGCAACACTTCCCTACTTCTGTACTCAATTCCTTTAGCTGGTAATGCCAGAATTCCATTTGCCTTCCTTATTGCGTGCTTTCCCTATATATTAGTTTTTTGCAATTCGTGTACAAGAACATCTAGATCCCTCTGCACTGAATCACTCTGAAGTTTCTCTCTATTTAGATAATAAGTTGCCTTTCTAATATTCCAATCAAATGAATAATCTCACACTAATCCATGTTAAATTCCATCTGTGAAATTTTGATCCATTCACCTAACCATATCCATTTTAAATTTCTTATCTTTATTGCAACTTACTTTTCCACCTATTTTGTTTAATATTTTTGAGAAGCATTCTCTGAAAAAAGGGAGCTATTTTCCACAGCAAATACTTAGACCATACTGACTTTTGCTTACCATGCTCCAGTGTATCAAATCAAAATGACCACGCAAGATAATAAATTGATTCTCATACACTGTTATGTGCTTAGATTTATCATTTTCATCTTTCCTCTGAAATGGTATGAAAATTTTAATTCCTATCTTAAGAGCTCATTAAATTTCTTGTTAATTCTTGGACTTTTATTTAATTTCCTTAAATGGAAGTTTCAAGCAATATTTTTACTCAGGCCAAGTTTTTCTTCAGTCCTGGTCCTTTGGGTATTTTCTATTCTAAAGCCATTATAGTTAATCTAGCTTATAATTTGATACTTCCATCATAGTTTAACTTTCCCGAGAAAATTCTTTGTTACATCAATAGAGTTTTATCTGGCAAGTTGGCAGATGTCCCAGTTAAGGATCTGATGAATTGTGATAGCTACATTTTTGCTAATTGTTAATGTGCTGTTGATAGAGAGTCTGTTTATGATGAACACTTCCTTACACTCAACGTCTTGCAGTTTCACCAGCATTTGACTAATTTTTAATCTTTCAACTATTATCATCCATCATAAAGCATTAAATTTCAATTGATTTCTGCATTTGTTCTTTGTCTATATCATGGCAATGCATCAAAGGGTAAAGAAACTACACTTATTGTCTTTATTTTTTAATGTGAGTAAGCAATGTATGTTTTTTAGAAGGTTATGTGCAGGTATTCAGTGTTGAAATTGCTGTTGCTAACCTTATTGTGTGAATGCTTAACATGATTGTATTGTATTCCTCTATTATTATGGCTAAGACATTAAACTTTCCAAAACCAAAATGTTTTGTATGAAATCATTGCTGCTGATTATTTCTGCACTTCAGTGGCTTTGCTTCAATTTTTAACCATAATTGTTAAATATACAATCATATAATTGTTGTTTCTATTTGTGGTTACAGCTTAATAATTTTATTAGATATGGTTAAACAAAGTAGACTTGTTACAGGGTGAAGTAGACCTGTTGAAGCAGTCTAGTGATCCAGTCCTTGGGTTTACCCTGCTGTGGTTGTGGGATGTGACTCACAGCAATGTCTATTACCCAAACCAACTAACCACAATGGGTGATGGATGTACTGTGTCACTTCCTAGGCAGGTCATATTGCCTTAGGAAGGGAAAATCCAGGCACTGTGGTCTCGTACCGTGGGAAACATCAACTACCAAGGGACTATATTTAGAGGAGGTTAAGTTTGAAAATCATGTATGAATCAGTTTCTGTTTCTTCTGTCAGTTTTGAGTTCTGGCCACCAGAACTTAAAAAGGATACATTGGCTATGGTGAAGATGTAGCTCAGACTCAGCAGAATGATACTGGGCATATCAAGCTAAGGGCATGTTACATAGTATTGTACTGCCAATTCAAGCCAATGTGCTAAGCTTTTTTTTTACCAATTATTGTGCTTCACTCTTTTTTTCAAGTTACAGTGTGTGGAAATGATTTGATAACCAATTCAGCAGTGATATTATGATATTGTCTTTGAGTTTATCTCTGTAGCATATTTCTTTCGGTATATACTCCCATTCCTTGTTTTTCTTTCCAAATATTACATTGTATTTCTCCACATTAATCTCAGCCTGCCACCTGCCTGTTTGTTACGCTCTGTTCAGCCAGCTAGTCACAGACTTGAGTAAGGGCCTTTAGGTGCTGTAATCTGCCTACAAAGGTTAGACTGAGATTTATTTTGCCTTGTCTAGGTGGATCAGTTTGGGGTTTTGCACCTAGAGAGGAAGGGAAACCCACTAAATTGGAGCAGAGTGGAATAAATAATTGCAAATATATTTATTCTTTTAAAACGGAGTCCTCTTTGCTGAGAATATAAACTTTAGACAGACTCCTGCATTTGGTGCTGTTGTGATTAGAGATTACAAGGCCAAATAAGCAATGTTTAGAGTTTTAGTTTCACTTGGAGTAACTGTTGCATGATGCAGCCATGATTAAATTGAGTTATAATCTAATGGATGCAAATTCTTCCCCCCCCTCAAACTTTATTTTCTAGTTGAATGAACTCTGTAGTGTATTTATTTCTGTGTTAAAAAGACGTGCTTTCAGAGTAACCAGTTGCTCAGTGAAGAAAACTGTTTGGGACCCAAAGCTGACAGACTAGGTCTGAGACTACAGTCTGAAGACTGTGCTGTACGGAGGCTAAAATATTTAAAACAAAGCATTGGTAACCTCATTGGAACTGAATAAGCAGTCTTCTTATGGTTTGAAGGTTTACGGAGAATCAGAACCATTTATCTAGTTGTATAATTCAAACAAACTTCAAAAGAGTTAATCACATCTTTAGAGGATTGATGGTTTATGTCAAGTACAATTATACCTCTGTTCTTGGAAACAGTCCTATTTCAACATCTATTAACCTGACTTGGAATAAGGCTAATGATATTGAACCCATTCAGTTTTGTTTTCTTATTCATGTTATTGGCATATATTTACATCCAAACAAATTAACTAGAATCTATTTGAAAGTCTGTTTGTATTAAATTGCTGGTTTGGTGATCAGTGCTGAGTTCCTAACATTGGACATGTCAACTTGTATCAGTATCAAGCAACGTTAATTATTCCTTTGGTAAAAGAGTAGAAGTTGGGAAGCAATCATCCACATAGTACATTTTTACAGGGTTTTGGTGAGACCACATCTGGAACACCAGGTGCAGTTTTAGTACTTGATTTGGAATTGGTAAAGTGCTGATTCACTAGATTGTTTCTGGAATGACAGGTTGAGAAAATCGAGTCTCTATTCTATGGAGCATTGAGGAAACAGGTAATTTTATTGAAACATTCAAGATAATGAAGGGATTTTGCAGAATAGTCACTGAGACATTGTTTCTCCTGTTTCTAGAATTAAGAACAGGGAGGCACAATTTCAGGTAAAGGAACTGATCATTTTGTACTGAGATGAAGTGAAATTTCTTCACTCAGAGATTTGAGTATCTTTGGAATTCACTATCCCAGAGGGTTGCGAATGCACCATCATTGAATACGTTTAAGACTGAGATAGAAAAATTTTTGGTGTGTCAGGGAATCAATTGATATGGGGAGTGGGTGGGAAAATTGTGTTGAAGTCCAAAATCAGTTATGATTATACTGAATGGCCTGGTAGGCTTGATCCACCATATGTTATTTCGCAGCTCCATCTGCTTAGCATGTGTATCTCTTAGTGGCTGCTTCTGAAGGGTATAGGCAGAAACCTGAAAGCAGACAGCCTACTCACTTGTCCGTGATTGTTCATGACCCCTTTCCACCATTCTGGAATGTTGAGACTAACTGTTGCTCTTCCTGGACTCCTCAACTGTAAAAGGGATGATTAAGACCCTTTTATGTTTTTCTTCACTTTACACCATATTTTAAATATCTTTTGGCTTAAGTATTTGAGCCAATTGTTGAGAAGTAACATAACATTGTTAGAAGTCATAAAGCCAAGGTGATTCAGCACTGACTATGTGCATTGAGTTCTCTGCCTTATACACTGCAAAACTTAGTCATCCTTACAAACTGGTAACCCCCATGACATAATTGGCCATCACTTTTTAAACACAATAATTCCTAAAACTTGTTGAATTGAACAAAATGAGAACATGTTAATCTCAATAATTTATAATTTTTAAACATCATTCCCTTGAGATTCGCTCTTGAAAAATTAAGTTGCCTTTCTACAACCATCCCCCACCCAGTCCCTGTCTGTTTCTCTGCTGTTTGCGAAGTTTTGATTCATTCTTAGTTGTGGTCCGACAGGCATTGACAATCCCTGCACAACCTTGTCCATGTATCCATTCCTTGCATGTAAATAAAGTAAGTGATTTATGTGAGTTTTTTTTATCAAAGGCAGTCTCCATCTGACATAATAGAACAAATCAACTGGCATCCTCATTTCTTTTCTCTGAATACTAAAAGACAGAAGTTAATACTGTGCTGAAGCTCAGAC